CGACTTTTTTTTTTTAGATTTTATTTACTTGAGAGAGAGAATGAGAGAGCGAGCACATGAGGGGGTAGGGTCAGAGGGAGAAACAGACTCCCTGCTGAGCAGGGAGACCGATGCAGGACTCGATCCCGGGACTCCAGGATCATGACCTGAGCCAAAGGCAGTGGCTTAACCAACTGAGCCACCCAGGCACCCAGAGCATGCAACTCCTGATCTCAGTCATGAGTTTGAGTCCCACATTGGGTGTAGAAATTAAACAAACACATAAAAAGAAAAAAAAAAAGATAATGTTTAGGTAGCTTGTTCTTTTGTTTCCTACAACACCAGAAGAAAATGAAGGTCCGTATGTGGGAGCATTATGAAGAAAGTGAAAACATCCCAGTTCCTTTAAACCCTCACACAAACTAAGAACACCCTTGATAGTTTTGTCAGACTTTTAAAGAAATTCACCATCCTTTAGCAGTAACTGTTAAACTTTACAAAAAACTTCCAGGAATATAAAACTGAAACTTAAACTTGGGAGACATATATTTAAGTTAGTATTTTCTAAAAGGCATAGTAGGAAAATAAAATAAAGGGCATAAATATGTTACCTTTCATAAGACTCTTGACAAATCCATTCATTTTAAATACAACTCAAAGCCTACATAACTAAGTTTGCCAAGTTGGTTATTAGACCACTAAAAAGAATACACAATTACACCGTGTCCTGATATGATAAAAAAGAAATTTAGGTTGCACAACCCCCTCTCTTGGCCAAATAAACTTTATTAATATACTGATTTAAGGCCTTAAGCCTTTGTTAATTTACAACTCTGTAAACCTGTTATTACTGGGACCATTTTACTCAATGATATTAACTATCTTCATTAAAGTAACTATTCATTATCAAATTAAAGGTTTTAGCTGTTTAAAGGGCAAGGCTACTGAACTAAGTAATTATCAAAGTGAATGTTCACATTCAGTGCTACCTTCATGTATATTTTTTACAAACATACTCCTATCACATAAATTGGTAGAATAGTAGACATTTCTGAGTATTTTTGATTAACTAGGGAATCTAATTTGAAATTAGTCCACCACATTTGAAAGACCTAGATTTCTACTATAAAAAAGTTCACCTTAACTGGGCAACTGAAGAATAAACTGTGGTATAATAGCTATGAAACACTTCATTTTCCCCTTTTACCCATTTATGCCTTAACACAGTTTTAAAAAGAAAAAATTAAAAGATTCATTTAAATTTCCCAGTAAACTTTCCCTTTAAAAAGCTCCCCAAACCCTTTAGCTTTAGATATAACAAAACAAAGATGTGGTGAAAGCTAAAAATAACCTAATGGTTTTCTCTTGGAAATAAAAGTTTAAAAGCTTAGAATTTACATACCCAGGTCAGGCCATAATCGGCCCCAGAAAAGCAAAATCCGTAAGTTACACATTGCCCTATGGTTTTTTTCCCCACATCACCATTGCTTCCAACACTAAAAGAATTTAAGACAACCCTAAGACCATAAAGCTGAAACTTCTGGCTCTCTTCCCTCACTTTACAGATGAAATATCACACATCCTGTACCCCACTCCCCCAAACCAAACCAAAAAAAGAGCTGAGACCATAATAATGATAGAACTCAGAGACTAGGCAACATAAAAGATTGTGGAAAAATAAATACAAGTAGTCATTAGACATAAGCCACCTGGAGAAAAGGAAACCAGTTCTGCTTTTAAATAACTTTATTTTTTCTAATTTTGTGTTACTTTAATTTCCCATAGCACCTTGGTAATGTTGAAAACAGAAATACAAATACAAGATGTACTCATTTTAACATAATATGCATGAGCATGTGTCACACCATCTTTTTTTGGGGGAAGGGGGCGGTTTGGACAACAGGAACAAACCTAAGCAATGGACAAAATAGAAGCTGGGTACTGGTTCTGATCCCTGACCCTGAACATTTAACAGGGGTCACTCAAAAGACATGTAAATCAGGAAAAAAAAAAAAAATCAACATTGATGTAGATGTTTCTTTATCTATACTAATCAGTGTTTTGTGCTACAAAACTGAAAATAAAGCCATTTTATTTTATACACAACCTGTTGACATCTGAGTTGTACTTTTAGGAACTGTCTACTCAACAATTCATAAAAAGTTGTTAGTTTTTAAAAATAAGTTATTTAATAATCAGGTGATTTTGAAAGAGAGTTTACTTTCAACTTGAACACAAATTCTCTTTCAACTTCTTAAAATGTCTCATTCAGTTAATAAAAACTGAAATGTCTATGTATCTTCTTGGAAGCTCAGACTAGCTAAGTTAGGATATACCAGAAAAGCCTAAAGTTAAATTAATGGCCACAAAATTGTAAGGAAATATAAAAAATTAGGAAAAAAACCTCACCATATAGTTAATAATTTATAAAAACCCTCAAAAGGAATACAATGTCCTCTTGCATTTTATCTTTTCTGTAAAAACAAACAAAATGGGTACTTTTAAAATATGGTTAATATACATGCCCAACACAAATATCAAGAGACTTAACCCCAGTGCTGTTCAACTGTGTCAAAGTAAAACCAGGGGACATTTAAGCCAAAAGACTAAATATTAAGGCCATAACTAATAAAGCTAAAGAAAGCGTTCAGTAACTTTTCAATACTGTTTTCTGCTCCAGCAGATGCAAATACTCCATCATTAAGCCTTTTGCAAAGCCAACCTGGTTATTTAAAAAGGAATGTGAAACAATATTCAAGCTACCTTAATTTTAGGAACCAAATATAAATTAAAAATCACATGTAATTTGAGATCACATGCAAAGGGAGCACAAAAGATGACAACAATAAATCCTCATTAAAGATCTTCTCTTGCAAAATCCAAGTGAATAAAATTTAGATGGATCATTCTTTTGAATGCCAATGTCTATATTTGTAAAAAAATGAAATCACTGAGTAGAGACAGGCCCTAGATATTATGAAAACCTCAATTATCAGGATAGAAAATGGAGACAGGTTTTGCAGTATCTCCAAATACCTTCTCTATGAAGTGCTAAGTGATGAACTTGTGTGACTCTTGTTCTCTTCATGAAGTAAGAACTATGACAGAAAACCACCATACTATACACTCACTATCACTTGTATCTACTTTGAGCCTCCAATAACCCAAGGAAATGTTAAGTCATAAGGATGAAGAGAAAAATTTGACATTTAAATTCCTCCCTCTACAGAACCAAATAAATAGCTGAACTACAATAAACGCCTAACCTGCATCAGTTACAGAGAACTGCTGGAAAAAGAAATCCACTTTCACACAACTCACAGGCATCATTTAGATACAAACCTTAAATCTGCTGAAATAAAATAAATGCTAAATACATACTGTGAATATATATAATTACACACACACACACTCCTTCTTCCCTATACATCCCACCAAACTGGGAACTATTAGCTGTAATGAGGCAAATTAAATTAAAAACACGATATATAAGAAATTAAAAAATGATGTCTTCAAATTTCTACTTTCAGTAACATTTTGGGTAAAAAAGCAAGAACACAGTTGCTTTCTTCAAAAGAAGACTCTTTTCTTGTGTTTCAATTAGAACATATAGCTTTTAGAAGTTGGGTGAACTAACAGTAAGTCACACAAGCATACAACACAATGTGACACACATTGTAAAAAAGTAATGTTTCATTTTAAGTGCAATAATTAAGTTTATAATCCTTACCAAGTGATTTTTATAAAATGTTTATTCTCTTAAATCCAATGCATTCACAGAGTGTTAACACTTTAAATGTTTATCATTTCCACCAACTGCAGCATTATCTAAGTAAACCAAAATAAGCACTTTTATCATAGATGTAGTCAATGATTATTAATACCTTTTTTTTAAAGGACCTAAACTTCCCCCAAATTTCAGCACAGGTAGTTTTATTGTATGTTTCATCTAGCAGATGATTTTTAAAAATAGTGTGTAGAAATGAATAGTTTCAAACTGTTTAAATATATTATACCATGTTATCAATCCACCAAATCAAAAGCAATTGCCAAGCTGAATAATAAGTTACAAAGAAAGGATAATCCTGGCTTGTACAGAAATGTGCAGTGTTTAGTTAGCTACTAATACAAATCTCTAAAGCTTAACTTAGAGTTGGAAGATGAGTTTCACAGTAATGTAATTTTAACCTCCATTTACATTCATTTTAATATATTACTAAGATGTTTACTCTATGTCACAATGGTGCTTTCCAGTGTTCACAATTTACAGTTTCAATTTGTACATATGTAATTCACTAACATAAGGGACAGTTATGACTATTACAAACTATCCCTAAAAAGAAAACAAAACCCCACCTTACATGGAACTCTGAAAATGGTATGACTTAACACAGATTAATGCAACATGGTTTTTAATATTTTAGCCATTTTCTAAACACCAGCATGTAAACTTGCCTACTTAATATGACAGCTACAACTTTATTCACTGAGAAAGTATGTATTAATTTTCTTCAACTATCTTTCTCACCTTAAGTAAAAAAATCTCATGACTTGCTGGTTCTGTTTCTGTGAATTCCAAACTGTTATTTTTGGGGGGGTGGGCGGAGAAAAGGAAGGAAGATGATAAAACACATTGTAAACAGAAAAAGTCACCCCCAAATTAAGCCTTTAATTTTTTTTTTAACTTCTACACTATTTAACACTTTAAGAAATCAGTTACAATGTTTCATCTTTAACACGAATACAAATAAATTACTGTAGGGTCAGTCTGACCTACCATTCTGGGATCTAAAGTTCTAAATACATGAACAGAAGAGTAAACTACTTCAATGTTCAATCAGAGATTTAGAACAGTTATATGATTTGACTAGACTGGTCAAGGCAATTAGAAACATACAATTCTGTAGGATGTTGGTTATTTTGCTTTTGGGGGGTGGGTAGTCAACAGAGAATAATGAAGTAACAAAAAAACCTGTCTCCTATTTGGGGGGGAGGGCAGGAAATCACAAAGCTTAAGTTTAAACCTCTGAAGTCCATTTGACCTATCCACTCAGATCTAAGACAAATTTTTGATTTTTTGAATAACCCCCTTTCTTTCCTTGAGTAGCAAACTGATTGATAGTCACATCTCTAAGTACAATCAGAGCTTAACAGTTTGTTGAATGAAATATTAAGGTCAAAAAGACAGACAATTTCAAAATGGAAAAAAAAAATCTACTCAAGTATTACATTCAGTTTTCAAATCATTTTCTAACATGACAACAGATTTGGCTTCAATCACTCTTGCACACACTCACACAACAGGCACCCCAGCCACTGATCTGCTTTGCAACACAAGGCCATATAGGCAGAAATGGCATTCTCCAAGCCAAACTTTAAATAGATTAAAAAAAGTAATTTCTAATTTTACAGAAATGCTTCTTCAAAAAATATTTTCTCTCACTCCCTCATCTCCTGTACTGAAGGATGTGTAATATGTTTTTTTCTCAAGCTAAATCTGAACCCTCAAAATTGATTCTAGGCAGAAGATCTCTGCAAATTAAAATCAAAAACAAAAATAGAAAAATTATATTTTTATATATGTATACATATATATATATATATATTTATACTGATTGGAATCCTCCAGCATTTTAAAATCACTTTAGAGATGAATTTTGGGATTCTACTGCTCACAACTCCAAAATCCATAATGATTTAAGGACATACACTTTTCTCCTGTTTCCTTCCTGGCTACCCCCTCCCCTCCAGAACAGTTCAATATAGCCACGGCTCAAGTTTAATGGGAAGAGAGAGAAGTTTTTGAATAGTTTGTTTTACTTTGGTGATCTGGGTGGCACATATTGCTCTTTGCCATTACGTCGAGTCACTCCCTGAGGTATAGCCCTATGGCCAAACTGGCGTCTCTGTTCCCTGATTTTTCCAGCTGCTCCCCTGGGAATGGTATTGCCTCGGAAGCTAGAATACTCCTTACTAGCCCTTGCTTCTGGCTTCTCATGCGATTTCTCAATGGACTTCTCAGGAGCTCCATTCTCTTCATTTTTGGTGGGAGACACTACATTGGAGCGAAGTTCTCGTAGTGGCTGCACAAGAACCGGAGCTGGCTCTTTAGGGGGCTTCTGGCACACTTCAGCATAACTTAGCTTTCGGGGTTCCTTTGAAGTGAAGATAAGAAAACAAATTTATGGAACATTCTCTAAGTAAAGTACAAAAAGGATAGTGAGACCCACAAGAAAATCAGGAAGCTATCTTCTAGGAGAGTGCAACAGGCATTCTCCTATACACTGCTATTAAAGTGTATTGGTACAATCTTAAAAATAAAAAATTTTGTTGAAATAATAAAAAGCCTTGGCAATTTATAAATGATACAGTATTTTCACTTGAGGAATTTATGTGAAAGATGTTCATGTCAGCATTGTTTATGGTGATGAAAAAACTGGAAATAACCTAAATGTCTAACAAGGAAAGACAGATGAAGTTAATAATGTACTTTCAGGTTAAGTTAATAATGTACATTCGTATGATGAATGTACATCTGTTCTCTCTTCCATGGCTACAAAGAACCCTGAAATGGATTCCACAAGAATCTCAACAGAGCAGCTGGGAACCAATAATTTATTAATAGAAGACTAATTAAAGGTCTTAATTACCTCATCTGGAAAAAAAAGGCCAACAGGGGTGTTATGAGAATGGGATAAAGCATGTGAGAAGTACTTAGCACTGGTCTTAGCATATAGCAGGCATTCAGTAATCGGTAGCTGCTATTGTACTATTAAGTAACAAAATAAAATGTCCTTAACCTAGGAAAAAGGAACTAAACCAAAATGCAACTAGTTATATTAATGAATGAAAAGATTATTAAATTTTGTGTTTTTGCTCAGCTTTCCTGTATTTCCCTAATTATAAAAATGATTTCTGGAAACTGAATAAAAATGGAAGTAGCCCTCATAAGACTTGTTAAACATTACAAAAAAAAAGAAAAAAAAAGAATTTCAAGGGGGCTCAAAGCCTCTTTAGCCCCAAAATACATTCATCATAACTTGAATAAAAAAGAAGCTTCGGGGCGCCTGGGTGGCTCAGTCGGTTAAGCCACTGCCTTCAGCTCAGGTCATGATCCTGGAAGTCCCAGGATCAAGTCCCGCATCGGACTCCCTGTTCGGTGGAGAATCTGCTTCTCCCTCTGACCCTCCCCCCTCTCATGCTCTCTCTCTCTCTCTCTCAAATAAATAAAAATCTTTAAAAAAAAAAAAAAAAAAGAAGCTTCATTTAAACTAGAAGGTGATCAGAAAAAAAGCCATTAAAAAACAAAAAACAAACAAACAAAAAATCCAAAACCCAGAATGGGGGCAACCTGGGTGGCTCAGATGGTTGAGCATCTGCCTCTGGCTCAGGTTGTGATCCCAGAGTCCTGGGATCAAACCCCGTGTGGGCTCTCCCTCTCCCCTATTCATGCTCTCTCTCTTGCTCAAATAAATCTTAAAACAAAAACAAAAAAACCCAACAAAAACCAAAACTTCTCAGAATGAATAATTATTCTTCACTATCTCAACATGGCTAAAATTTCCCATTTCTTTGCAGTGACTTTAAACTCCTTGAGCTTCATTTGAGGCAGGCAGCCTCAGTTTGGACTATTTCCAAATGACTCTGTTCTAGCAAAGACTTATGTGAAAAAAAATCTCATTATTTAACCTATTATTTTTTCCCCCCACATACTAAATTCATCAAGTTACCTGTAGGGCCACAGCTACAGCTGTATTTATGTTATTATTACATGGTGAAGCACTATTTGTCCTTGATGGCTTTGCACTACTTGGGGAAGAAACTGGTATAGCTGTTTGGTTGAGAACATCCTTCTGAACAGAGGAATCCTCTACTAGATCCTTTTCTTGCTGAGTTGTGCTAAGGAAAAGAGAGCTTGACATTAGACTTAGCACAGCACACAGAAACAGCTGAGCGAATGATCAGAAGAGAAAGTAATCTTAATGTGGAAGACCTTCTATACTGAAACTGTACCTTAATGCAGGAAGTTCAGCTGTACATGGAGGACTGGTACTCATACTGAGTTGCTGGGCAGAGGTGCAGTCTGTCTGTTCATCCTCTGCAGGCACTGGGCAGCTAACTCTTAACTCCTCATTATCCTTAAAGTAAAAACATATTTCAAAATTAACTCATATAGACACTTGGTCTCCAAAGAAGATATCCAAATTGCCAATAAGCACTTACAAAGAGGCTCAATCATCATCAGTCATTAGGGAAATGCAAATCAAAACCACAATGAGAAATCACTTTCCACTCACCAGGGTGCTATAATCAGTAAGTAACAAATGTTTGTGATGATAATGGAGACACTGGAACTCTCATACACTAAGTGGTAATGCAAAATGGTGCATTTTGGAAAATAGTCTGGCAGTTCCTCAAAAAGTTAAACACAGTTACCATATGACCCAGCAAGTATATACCCAAGAGAAAATATGTCTACACACAAATGTTCATAGCAGCATTATTCATAGCAGCCAAAAAACTGTGAACAACCTAAATACTCATCAACTGGTAAATGGATAAACAAACTGTGGTATATCCATATAATGTACTATTACTGGGCAATAAAAGGAATGAAGTACTGGTACACACTACCACAATGGATGAACCTTGAGAAAATCATGCTAAGTGAGATAAGCCAGTCACAAAAAGGCAAATATTATATGATTCCACTTACACGAGACACCCAGAGTACTCACATTTATATAGATAAAGTAGAACGGCGGCTGACAGGGGCTGAGGGAAGGGGGAATGGGTAATGGGAGTCACTGTGTAATGGGTATAGCATTTTATTATTACTTTTAAAAGATTTTGTGTTTTAAGGAATCTCTACACCCAAGGTGGTCCTTTACTCACAACCCAGAGACCAAGAGTTGCATGCTCTACCAACTGAGCCAGCCAGGTCCCCTACAGCATTTTATATTTACAAGATTGAGAGTTCTGGAGATTAGATGCACAAAAATGTGAATGTATTTAACACAAATGAACTGCATACACTGAACAATGCTTAAGATGGTAAATGTTTTAGAGGGGCAGAGGGAGAGAATCTCAAGCAGACACCACGCTGAGCGTGGAGCCTATGTGGGGCTTGATTTCACCACCCTGAGATCAGGACCAAAGCTGAAATCAACAGTCAGATGCTTAATTGACTAAACCACCCAGGCGCCCCTTAAGACGGTAAAATTTATATTATGTGCAATTTACCACAATTTTTTTTTTTTAGAGATTTTTATTTATTTGAGATAGAGAGAGAGAGAGCATAAGGGCGGGAGAGCAGCAGAGGGGAGAGGGAGAAGCAGGCTCACCACTGAGCAGGGAGTCCGATGTGGGGCTTGATCCCAGGACCCCAGGATCATAACCTGAGTTGAAAACAGATGCTTAGGGCGCCTGGGTGGCTCAGTTGGTTAAGCGACTGCCTTCGGCTCAGGTCATGATCCTGGAGTCCCGGGATCGAGTCCCACATCGGGCTCCCTGCTCGGCAGGGAGTCTGCTTCTCCCTCTGACCTTCTCCCTTCTCATGCTCTCTCTCTCTCTCATTCTCTCTCTCAAATAAATAAATTAAAAAAAAAAAAAGAAAACAGATGCTTAACTGCCTGAGCCACCCAGGCGCCCCTTGCCACAATTTTTTTTTTTTTTTAAGATTTATTTGACAGAGAGAGACACAGCGAGAGAGGGAACATAAGCAGGGGGAGTGGGAGAGGGAGAAGCAGGCCTCCTCCTGAGCAGGGAGCCTGATGCGGGGCTTGATCCCAGGACCCTGGGATCATGACCTGAGCTGAAGGCAGACACTCAATGACTGAGCCACCCAGGCGCCCCACCACAATTTTAAAAAGTAAAATAAAAACAATAGCGAGGGATGCCTGGGTGGCTGAGTTAAGCATCTGCCTTCGGCTCGGGTCATGATCCCAGGGTCCTGGGACTGAGTCCCGCATTGGGATCCTTTCTCAGTGGGAGCCTGCTTCTCCCTCTGCCCCTCCCCCTGCTTGTGCTCTCTAAAATAAATAAATCTTAAAAACAAACAAACAAAAAAAACCCACAAAAAAAATCTAATAGCGAGCCCTGGATATTAAAATCGATTGATAAAGTACAAATTTCAGTGGGTTTATTTATTTTTTTAAAGATTTTATTTATTTGAGAGTGAGCAAGCAAGCATGAGTTGGGGGGGGTGTGCAGAAGGGCAGTAGGAGAGGGAGCAGCAGATGCCCCACTGAGCAGGCAGCCTGATGTGGGGCTTGATCCCAAGACCCCGGGATCATGACCTGGGCCAAAGGCAGATGCTTAACCAATAAGCCACCAGGCACCTCCAAATTTCAGTCGGTTCAAAGGTAACATTTAGAAAACCTTTGTAGAAACCATAGACAAGTACAAAAATAAAAATTAGGAAAGCCAAAACAAAATCTGAGGTTCGACCTACAAGATGTAATATCAATTAAGAGTTAAAGAGAAGAAAAGAGAAGTGAAAAATGTATCAAAGAGATAATACAGGAAAATTTTCTAGCATGTAAGGACAAGTTTCCAGACTGAAAAGGTCTACCAAGTATCCAGTGCAATGAATTAAAAAGGAGTCATAGCAAGATACACCTTCATAACTTCATAGAATACCAGGGATAAATAAAAGATCCTAAAGGCCTCCAGAGGGGGGGGGGAAGGTCACAGGAGGATCAGAATGATAGGTTTCTGAAAAGGATCTCGGGAAGCCAGATCATTTCCTAAGCAAGATATAAAAAAGAACAAACCATAAAAGAATGACTGATAAATATGACCATACTAAAATAAGAGCCTGTTTTCACTCACAAATACTAAACTCTGAAAACAAACCACAATTAGTAATATCCATTACTGACAAAGGATTAGTATCCAAAATAAATTTAAAAATTCCATGGATCTGTAAGATAAAGAGATAACCCAACAGAAAAAAAAAAAGTGCCAAATACTTGGCACTCTAGGGCACCTGGGTGGCTCAGTCGTTAGGTGTCTGCTTTCAGCTCAGGTCATGATCCCAGGGTCCTGGGATCGAGTCCCACATCGGGCTCCCCGCTCAGCGGGAAGCCTGCTTCTCCCTCTCCCACTCCCCCTGCTTGTGTTCCCTTTCTCGCTGTGTCTCTCTTTGTCAAATAAATAAATAAAATCTTAAAAAAAAAAAAATACTTGGCACTCTATAAAGAGAAACTCAAATGGCCAATAAAAACATGAAAAAGTAACTTAACCTTAACAGTAAATTTTAAAAGATGCCCTATCACTCAGCAATTCCACTATGTATATACCCTAAAAACCGGGTGTGTGTGTAGTTTGAACATTCACAGAATTGCTTATGTCAAACAGACAAAAAAAAAACAGCTCAAGTGTCCATCAACAGTTGAATAATATTCTTAAAAAGAATACAACAGTGCAAAATGAACTAGTTATCAACACCAATGAATTTTACACAATATAGAATGAAAGAAATAACAGAAGAATACACATTCCATTTGTGTTGTGTTCAAAAACAGGCACACTGAACAGTATACTCTCTAGGTTAGGGGTTGACAAACCAAGGCCTGCTGGCCAAATCCAGCCTCTGAGTTTGATTGGTATGGCCTATGAGCTAAAAGTGGTTTTTACGTTTTTATAGCATGTGGCCCACAAGCCTAAAATATTTACTTTCTGGCCCTATTCTACAGAAAAAGTTTCCCAACCTGGAATGGTAAAATTATAAAAAAAGCAACAAAATTGTTACTGCAGTCAGGATGTTTCCTCTGAAGGGAGGAATAAGAGGAATCTTAAAAAGTGAGGGGAGACACATGGCACTGCTAAGATGTTGGTGATGTTCATTGTCCACAACTGTGGGTTGGGATTACAAGGGGAAATACACTTTATTCTTCTTCTTTAAAAACGCATGTATGTGTGAATCACACCTCACCAAATGGGAGAAGTCATAAACTGTAAAACGCACCATTATTTTATGTATTACTAAGAAAAACACTACTACTTAAACTACGGTAATGTTTAATTATAGATTTTCAAAGGTGGAAAAAATGTCTATCTTAAGGCTGATGAAATAACTAAAATATTGCACAATTTTTTAAACAAGGGAAGACAAATACCTTCAAAATTCCATGGGAAAATGATTTCTAAAACAGAACTCTACAGAGATAAGCTATTATCCTATGTGAAAACAAAAACATTTTTGGAACACAAGATCTCAAGAAATTTATACTAAAAACCACTAATTCAGGAAGCTCAGGAAGATGTGACCCACCATAATAAAGGAAAGGAAAGTAAGAGTGAGGATCCAACAAAAGAAAGTAAGGAAAATTCTCAGGATGACGGTAAAGTCAAGTCCCAGCTACACAACTGTGCAGTAGGCCACTGAGAGTATAAGAAAGGAGAAATAATGGCAGTATACTATGAGGTTTGGTTATGGAAAAAAATGGTAATATCAAGATGTGACTTACAAGTGATGGCATATCCGAATCTAACTGGCAGTGCTTTTTACTTTCTTTTTTTTAAGACTTTATTTATTTGAGAGAGAGAGTACAAGCAAGGGGGAGGGACAGAGGGACAAGTAGACTCCCTGTTAAGCAGGGAGCTGGACATGGGGGAGGGGTGTGTGGCTGGATCTCAGGATTCTGAGATCATGACCTGAGCTGAAGGCTTAACCAACTGAGCCACCCAGCTGCCCCTGCTTTTTACTTTTTTAGTGATACTAAATCAATAGGGCATCTTATAATGGATGGTATCCTAGATATGATGCAGTACAATATACAGGGAGAGATAAGAAAATTATGTTGGCTTAAGAGAGCTAAATCCTTAGGTTCTAAATGGAAAGGTAATAGACAACATCAAAAATTGGAAAGCCAAGAAATAAAGTATATTGGGAGCACACAACTCTTGATCTTGGGGTCCTGAGTTCAACCCCACATTGGGTGTAGAGATGAAAGAAAAGAAAAGAGAAGAGAAGAGAAAAGTAGCAGCATAACCATGTTAGTTAGAAATATAGGGTTTGGAAAACAGGAGAAAAAGCTAGTTGAAATGGTTGCACAGGGATACTATTTTTCACTATAAGCCTAGATGTACTATGTGTATATACTATAAAAATAAAAACTGAATTAAGAAAAAAAGGGAAGAAAATGAGAAAAAAATGTGGGTGTAAAGATTTAGCACAGGAAGAGGTCTACACTCAAAAATATTTTAGGAGGGGCGCCTGGGTGGCTCAGTCATTAAGCATCTGCCTTCGGCTCAGGTCATGATCCCAGGGTCCTGGGATCGAGCCCTGCACGGGCTCCCTGCTCCGCGGGAAGCCTGCTTCTCCCTCTCCCACTCCCTCTGCTTGTGTTCCCTCTCTGGCTGTGTCTCTCTGTCAAAAAAATAAATAAAATCTTAAAAAAAAAATTTTTTTTTAGGATGGGGTACCTATCCTAAAGGTTGATGCCCTAACTCTTTGATATCAACTCTCCATTATTTGAAAGCCTGAATTTACCAAACTAACTTAGAATTCATTTACATCATTGACTAATTACAGGCAAACAACACTTTCCACCAGCTTGCATTAATTGGTTCTACCAAACTGAGCTGGCTGACACGAAAGACATGCAAACGTGAAGAAACATTTTATTTTTTTAATTGGTTAAATTTTTATTTTATTTATTTTTAATTAACATATGATGTATTATTTGTTTCAAGGGTACAGGTCTGTGATTCATTAGTCTTACAGAACACCCAGCACTTTATTGGCCTGTGTAGCTTTATCATAAATCTTTTTATAATACTCAAAGCAAGCTGACAATCCCATGAGTAAAAACTATGACAGAAATACATATTAAGTGCAAATAAAATTGCAAATTATAACTCTGCAAACAAAGGCTAACTATGGTCCCATAAGTAAAAGATTGATGCCTCAGTGTTTACCTTTTCTTTGTAGACACCTTTAACAACATCAGACATCCTACTCTCCAAAACAAGTTCACCTGGAGTTCTTGATGAACTTCCGGGTAAAGGAGGAAAATTTGAGGCTAGTAAGTCAAACTTTGGTGTTGGAGCCTTTGCTTCAGCTGATGAAGACTGAGGTCTCTAAAAGACACAAATCATAAAACAGGTCACATGCCTATCTCATTCCCTAATCCTGTACCACAGAAGCTGAAAGCTGTAAGGAAACAAAACTCTACACTAATGCAAGAATTGTTTGTTCTCCTATAAATTCCTGGCTTCTCATCTCAGTTGAGCTCTATTTTTTTATCAATCCTTCTTACCTTTCGTCAACTTCCTCACCTGTTTCTTTTGCAAACTTTGCCACACTCCTTAAGCCTGCTAACCAAATCTCCACTATTTGCTAAGTTTGTGATACTCCCTTCCAGAACAAAAATAACCCCTATGTGACCTAATTTGCCATCAGCTTTTCTCCTTTCATATAGTCTCAAGAGAACAGTACCTTTCCTTGAAAAATCTCCTGATCTGCCTTTCTGCCCACCATCCTATACCCTCTACAAGCCTCACCTCTGTATTCATCACCACTAAAATTGCTTTGACAAGTCACCAATGCCTTCCACAATGCAAAATCTGACAGACTTTTTTCCCTAACCTCGTATAGCACCTGGCATGGTAAACATTCTTTCCTTTGGGAGCTCATTCCTCCCTTAGCTTCTGTGATACCTCTTTCTCTTGGATTTTCAGATCTCACAATCAGGTGCTTGTGCTCTCTACCTACTCCCTTTGACAGTTTTATAATTTCTATGTGGTTACTACTCTTTTCACTTCCATACTCTCCCTGTGTGATAGCCACTATTCATGGCTTCAACTACTACCTATATGCAAACAACCTTTACAACAATCTTTTTCACTTTTGGTGACTGGCTACACACCACTGGAAATTTACCAAAACTCACTGAATTGTACACTTTCAATATTCTCAGCCCAGACCTTTACCTGAAAACCTAGACATCCATTTGTCTATCAGCCTTCTCTGCTCAGATTTTGCTTGGAAACTTCAAACAATATAGTAAGTAATCTCATTCTTCAGCTCAAAGCTACTATTTCCCAAAGTTCCATTCTTGACCACTCTAAATCACTTACAGAGTCCCCTGAATGATTTCATCTACTTTTATGATTTCAATTACTTTGTGTAAGCTGACAAATCCCAAATTTTATCTCTGGCTAATATCTTCTTCCTGCACAAAGGCACTTCCACTCTGCCTTTCCTACTGGAAAGCATGTTTGTCTCCTTTTTCTTCACCCCTTCAGTCCTCAATCCTCAATATATTTTCAACATATTAAATGGACTTCAAAACTAATCTCTTCTCTCAATTGTTCAGGGCCATTTGAGGATTCATATGGACTGTATCCTTCTAAAAAAGTTGTTGCTATGTCATGATGGCTACCCATGGTACAGAAAGCTATAAATGAAAAAACAATACTATTTTAAAAGGTTCACAGTTTGCCGTAAGGACCATTCTGTGTGTTATAATGCAATATGTTTTCTTCTTTGGAAATGCTTATCTTTTCACTACTTATGTATGTAGTATTTGTATATTATATTAGATGTAGCCTACATGCTATATGTATAGTACACTTATATGTGTATACAATTCACTACTACTTATACACATAAAGTAAGTATTATACTATAATTTATGGTTTATCTGTAAATTCTAGGCAGGGTTTTCTTGAGACCTCTGTGGGTTCCTACATCATTCTGATTTCTCAACTCCTTTTGCTCTCAGTTAAGACATGGCAAACATTCACCATGAACTAACCACAAAAAAATAAAAACATGATTAATTTGAAGCTTAAGTCAAAATTCAAATAAAAACATGTCTAGAACTATAAAATTTTAATTTATAAGCAATTTTATAAGATTAGCGGATAGAAGAGTAAGTAGTAGGTAGAAAATTGCCCGCCCCTGCCAAGTAATAAGTTTCCAACACCATCCAGAGAGCTTTGTAAGTGAATGATAAACTTTATCAAGTTGGCAAAAAGTCCTATCTTTATTGGGCTATTGATAAATAGGAACTTTTGTTCAATGTCTGTCAGAGTGTCAACTGGCACAACCCCTACAGAAAGCTGTAAGCTGGCAGCAACTTACTGAACTGTGACCCAGAAATCTCATTTCTAAGGATTCTCCTTCAGGTGTTATTACACACATAGGAAAGAAGTTACCATAGCTACAAGACTGAAAGACTGAAACTACTTAAATGTCCATTAACAACGTAATAAACTTTTCATTGAATATTTTCATTTTTTGATTTTTAAACCATGTGTATATATTAGGTATTCAAGTAATTTTTAAAAAACACAAGCAACACAGATCAAATTCCTAACTATACATGTGCTTTAAGGGTGGGCCATAGTGGTAGCAGTGGATATTTTAGGGTCAAAGCACAAGTTCTATTTACCTTTGTCTAATACTATAATCAATAAGACAAAAACCTGGAAAGACCGACCACAAGCCAATGCCATACTAAATCACAAAAGAAAAAAACAAATGAATAGATGTAATAAAGGTAAAAAATACTTACCTGGACTCTCTCATCTTCTCGTCGTCTTCGACCTCTGAAAAGAGTTCTCCTTTTAACAACAATAAAAAAGGTGGGGATGATGGGAGGGACAACTCATAAGTTTCTTCAAATATATAATACACTCTATCAAAGATGGGTGAATTTCTAGTTTAATTAACTATATTTTCTATATCTCCACTATTAAGAGATGAATATATATTCTTCTGAAGGAATCCTAAACTAATCTACCAAAAACTTCATCTACTACCCCCACCACCACTAAATAAGTTGGGCCATTTTTATTAAGTAGTGTTCCTTCCACACCAGAAGTATATCAGGGTTTTTTGTTTCATTCGAGCAGAGTAGGCAATAAGGTATAACCCCATTTCCATAGTTAAGAAGTTGTAAGAAATTAAACTAGAATGCAGATAAGATCTTATCTTCCTAAGCTATTCTTTCCTCAGTGACCCATAAAGAACTTCAGAGTAACTTTATGAACCTCTGACTCAGAGCTATATTCTATATGGGCACTATAAATTTCTAAATAATTATGAAAACTATTAACCCATATTATGTGAACACTGTATTCAATTAGTACAACCATACACCAATAGTTAAGTTAAAACAAAAAATAATCACTAGGTCTTCAAATATTCACATTACGAGCAAAGAGTTGTCATATACCTTATCCATATTTATTACCCTATTTCCTTACCTGCCCCTACCATAGTCCCCATTCTGTTCCATCTGTACAGCAGGAGTTTCTTTTGGAAGGTAGCTTTGCTCCTGATGCCCCGTTACTGTAGGATTATGCCGTTCAGTTGGAAAGTTCCTTGAACCAGATCTGTTTAATGGTCCATCCCCCAATGACACAGAGCCCTCTGTCGAGTGTTCTGAACCACTCGATGACCTAAAATGAGGCTTCACACTATAAGAAATATAAGATCACATACATGAGAGGATAAATCAAGACAGACAAAATCTTTCCCCTTAATGGTAAAAACTCTGTATTTAATGGGACAAGTTAAAAATTGCCTTCTAACTGTATTCTGATTTTCCACAAATTAAGTCACACATAAAAGTGTCACATTATAAAAATGTTAACCCTTTTATGTCTCAGATTTTTACATTTAAAAAAGTTGTTTGGGGGCGCCTGGGTGGCTCAGTTGTTAAGCGTCTGCCTTCGGCTCAGGTCATGATCCCAGGGTCCTGGGATCGAGCCCCGCATCAGGCTCCCTGCCCTGAGGGAAGCCTGCTTCTCCCTCTCACACTCTCCCTGCTTGTGTTCCCTCTCTGGCTGTGTCTCTCTGTCAAAAAAATAAACAAAATCTTTAAAAAAATAAAAAAGTTGTTTGGAGAGATTTGGGGTAAAATCCAAAGTTCTTCAAGATAAAGCTATTTCTATTTCAACACTCAAAATACAACTAGGATTTTAGATAATTTAACACCAGTTGCAGTCTTGACATACCTGAATCAGCCAGGCTTTAAGCTTATTAATGAATTTATGCCATACATTCTCAATGGGGCAACATCACCCCTAGTGGGAGTAAAAAAGGTTCAAGGTAGGGGTGGGGTGGGGTGGGGGTGGGGCCGAGAAGGAACAAAAAAAAATCCCAACTTACTCCTTTTATGCACAGAGCACGGATATACATACATTACATAAATACATATACAGTATCTCCAGTACTAAATTTTCATAGGGAAAAACTGGGGGGGATGTCTAAAAAGGCTCTCTACGGGAATGACAATGAAAACCAGAGAAACAGTGCAATATATTAAAATCCCAGCTTTTTTTGTTTTTTAAACATTTTATTTATTTGAGAGAGAATGAGAGAGAGAGAGCACGTGAGAGGGGGGAGGGTCAGAGGGAGAAGCAGACTCCCTGCTGAGCAGGGAGCCCGATGTGGGACTCGATCCCGGGACTCCAGGATCATGACCTGAGTCGAAGGCAGTCGCTTAACCAACTGAGCCACCCAGGCGCCCTAAAATCCCAGCTTTTTAAATTAATTGTTCAAAGATCCTATGTGAAAAAAAAGCTAGGAAAATATAATGCAACTAATAGCCTGGCATGGCTTCATGAATTAGGTATAGAATCTAGTAAAAACAAACAAAAAACAAAGTAAGCCCAACCAACTAAGGATCTTGGTTCTATAACAGATTATACAAGAAAGTATGAGATTTATATTTGGCCCCTTATTTGTAGTTTAAAAATTCCATTTTTACAGTCTATTTTCATGGTTACAAATTTATATCAATAAACACACTGCCAATTCCTGGTTCTCTGAATTTGGATTTAAAACTTCAAAATAATTATAAAGCCCAACAATTTAACATTAATTCCAACAACATCTCCAGCTACCCTACTCTTTACAGAAAATAAAAAAAAGAGGTTACTGCCATTAAACCTTAAATAAAAAACCAGGTGAAAAAGTTGGGTTGAGTTTCATTAAGATTACATGAAATAATTACGTCACAAAGTAGTTTTTTTTTTTTTTTTGCTTGTTTGTTTTAAGATTTTTATTTCTTTATTTGACAGAAAGATAGAGCCAGAGAGCTCAAGCGGGTGGTGGTGGGGGAATGGCAGAGGGAGAGGGAGAAGCAGGCACCCCATGAGCAGGGAGCCTGACGTGAGGCTCGATCCCAGGATCCCGGGCTCACGACCTGAGCTGAATGCAGACACTTAACTGAGCCACCTAGGCGCCCCACAAAATAGATTTTTAATAGCAATGAAAATTATAGAATGTCAACACAAAGCATTTTCAAAATATTTTTATTTTCCATCACATCTGAAAATGACCTCATGAGGTAGATATGCTGTTTGTTATCTGTTCAGAAACTATCATTCGCCTAAATTTTCTCATTGCATTTCAATATACCTAACAGATAAGTTACTAGGTTTAAACAGCCCTCAGATCTCATAATCTTACCCTTCACTGAGAGGGACTTACAATCTCAGTCCAGGCAAAAGAAAAAAAAGAGAGTGATAAAAGATGGAAAGGAAGAAGTGACAGAAAGAGAAAGTATGAAAGGTAGAAAAATGCCCAGACTTCTGAAAGTTAGTCCTAGTCTCTCTAAGTAGGTCTAGTGATCATCACTGGGCTGTTACAAGGTTCATATAGTAAACTACAAAAGTACTTCCTAAAAGTTACTTTCTCCTTGACTAATAACTTCAAATAAATAAACAAACAAATAAAAATAAAGGTCTGGAAGTGGTCACTTTTTAGACGAAAAGAAACAAGGATTAAGGTCTGTCAAAAAGCTCCCAGTTTCATCTGTAATATTTGCACTTTTTAAGAAGAAAATACTCATGTATAGTTTTTGTAACTAAAATTAAAAACCTGTACTGGTCAAACATATGAAAAAGGATTGTACATGAATGGTTTTGAGTAACAAGCAAAATTATACTAAACCTTAGCCTTGTGCCTTCAAAAGCATAGGCACACCTCCTTATAAGTAAGGATGACTGGACTGTCATTCTTGGCTTTCTTATCGTGATTTCAACCTTTTCACCAAGGAAGCACAGCAAACAAAAACAAGTGACAATAAAGGAACACCATGAACCGTTTAATACATTTTTTAGTCAAGAATCTGCAAACCACCAGTACTTTTACTTATTAAATATTGCTTTTAGTCTACCTTATAAGAAAGACGTATATTCTACTTAACTGTTTAAAGCAAAATTCACTCTTTAAAAAAAAAGGGTGAAATCAATACATATTATACATATTTCTACAAAGCCACTATTTCTAATCAGGGAAATCTGTATTTTCTAACAAGGGAAGTTGCAAGCTGTCATTTACTCTAATTAAATTATTTTTAAGAGAAAACTTCACCAGCTATGGTTAGAGGAAAGGAAACGTTCTAATCTCAGGTCTGCTGATAATAACTAGCCATGTAACCCTAGCAAGATTTTTGTCCTCTTCGGCTTTCACTTTCTTCAGCTGTAAAATGAGTTAAAACTACACCATAATAAAGGTCTTTCCAGATTTAAACACCATTCTATGTGCTCATGGAAAGTAATCTTTTGAACAACAGGACTGGGATTAAAGGACAATGTGTGAGGCTCCCTGTAACTTCTACTCATATGTCCTGGCAATACTTGAATTGTGCAATTGTTACTTTATTACCAAACTAAGAATCATCTACAAGAGTAAAATAATCCTTTCATTTATGAAGAATCCTTCATCCTTGTAATATGAAGAGATCAGATTTGAAACTTCATAAAGCAGTAAGAATGGGTATATGTAATAAAATGTTTGCAAAAATGATCTTCAAATGCTTTAACCAATTTTGTCAGTTAAATGAGTACAAAAAATTGTGACAACAGAGGATGGTACACAAGAATGCTTCCAGAATCCACTGAGAAGAATATTTAATACCGAGAGGCTTCTTTCTCCAGTGAAGCATGTTTCAGGTAAACCTTATAAAAAAGAATTAAGTTCCTAGAAGTCATTTTAGAAGAACATACCCCATGTGGTCTTCTTGCCAAAAAGAACCAACTGGGAGAATGAACTATGGCAAGGGAAAATCACTGAAGAAATCATTTAAAAAGCCAAAAACCCAAACCGAGGAGACTCACAAAATAAGCAAACAAAAAACAATAAATGTGAAACTCTTAAATAAATCTAAGCCACTATATAAGCCCTTTTTTCTTTGGATACTCATACTTTCAAAAGCCATAATATATACCAAATTACTGAGATTATCAATTAATGTTTACATAAAAAGAGTAACACTTAAGAGACTTACCTTTTATATGATAGCAAATAGTTTCCAGAATTCTCAATAATTTATTTAGAACACCGTTTTTTAAGTATAGGCTTTTAAGTCAAACTGGGCTCAAATTTTGGCTCTCCCAGTTACTAGCTACATGCTTTTAGACATGATATTTAACCTTTTATGTTTCAATTTCCTCATCTTAAATAGATATAACTATCTTACAGGGTTATGAAAACTGTGATAAAATATTTAAAGCCCTTAAAACAAAGCTTTGGATATTAATGTTCAATAAATGGTAGCCATTGTCTAAACACTATAGTTCACAGAAATCATTTCAAAAGTCAATTTTCAAAAATCCTAAGTAACTCATTTTTCCAGCATTCAATACTCAAATCAGCTAACATTTTCTATCCTAAAAAAAACTCTCATTCTCTAAAATATTACCTATTTAACACACTAAATGGTATTTAAACACCAGATCTTATGTTACTATCATAAAATAATTTTCTATTATCTCTTTGTTATTAAAAAATCAGTATGTACAATCTTAGTTCTAAATCTTTTTTATACAAATTATCCACTATGAGGTCAAAGTGTGCTTATTAATTCTAGAGTAAATCGTTTAAGCTTTTTACTAAGCTTTATAAATAAGCATTGTGACTACCACAGTAATTCTTTAAGAACTACTGGGAACTGTGTACAATAAATTCCACTATGTTTTGTTTTTTGTTTTTGTTTTTATGTAGGCTTCATGCTGGGCATGGAGCCCAATGCCTGGGCTTGAATTCATGACCCTGAGGATCAAGACCTGAGCTGAAATCAAGAGGTTGATGCTTAACTGACTGAGCCACGCTGGCACCCCTATTCCACTATGATTGTTATCTTACCGATTTTTTTGGAATGGTCGAGGCATATTCACAGCAGCAGCATTTGTTTTATAAGATCCTGGTGCATTAAAGCCATTCACAAAACTACCATTGGGAAAGGGAGCCTAAAAGAAAATGTAATGTTTAAAAACAATTAACAAAAAGGGCAAAACCTAGTGTGAAGGCTGTAAGAAACTCCTGATGAACTAACCTAGCATCAAATTTTTTTAAAGATTTTTTATTTTTAAGTAATCTCTACACTCAACATGAGGCTTGAACTCACGACCCCGAGCTCAAGAGTCACATGCTCCACTCAGGATCCCCCTCAATTTCTTTTACAAGGCAAAAATAATTTTAAGCATTTTACTTACTCAATTTTGTAATACTCACTTCAAATATCACTTGATTTACAGAAGGAATCATTAGGTCATTACTTAATAAAGTACATTTCTCTCTGAAAAAGGTGAACTGAAAACATTTTAAACTAATCAGGATTTACCCACTCTCTTATTTTAATTCATTCAGCAAAATCTAAAGAATAAAATTATAGGAACCAATAGCTCAAGTCTTAGTCACATGGGGATTCGGTATCTTTATCACTACTTAAAAGCCAGAAAGAAACCAATATGAACAAAAAACAAAATAAAAAAATAAACTACTCTAGCTGATTTCTTCAAATTTCAGCTTGAGTGAAAAATTTTATAATTCTGTAAGGATCTCACTTACCAGTGGTGTTTCAAAGTAAGGTGCAGGATTTGGTGACCAAGACTGAGGCACAATACTATAAACCGAGTACTGTTGGTGAGGATTATATACAGGCTGCATAAAAACTGGTGAGGCATACTGTGCTTGAGTTTGAATGGGCTGACTATACATACTAGAATCCATTAATCGATAACCATTCTTAGCAAAAAATGTATTGATGGCTTTTATCCTTGCCTAGAAGAAAGAGGAACAAATTATAATGAAGGACTGTGTATCTTCACAAATATATTTAATTTACATTTTAAACATATTTTACATGACTATGTTATTTCTGCCTACTATACAGTCAGTAGAGCAAAAGGAAATGATTGATAGCTTTAAATTATTTAAAAAACTTTTGCATGGCTAATACAACAATGAACAAAGTAAAACCACAAAAGTCAAAATAGTAAAACTAACTGCAACTTACAAATTCTAAAAAAAAGATCAAAAAATGTGTTAGAGAAATGAACAGAGTTCACAGAGAAAAGAAAGGCAAATGGCTCTTAAACATATGAAAAGATGCTAAACCTTGCTTATAAGAGAAATGCGATTAAAAATGGAATTAACATTTCTTACTTACAGAATTGGCAAAAAATCCCAAAATTTGACAGCATACTTTGTTGATAAGGTTGTGGCAAAATACACTGATGATGGGAATGTAAAACAGCACAACCCTTATAAACAAAAACTTAGCAATATGTTCCAAAAATCATATATGCATTTATCACATTCTCATCAATTCCAGTTCAAGGAATCTTTTCCAAATACACACTGAACAAAAAGAAGTTTTAAAAAAAGGATGCACATGGCTGTTCACTGACACTAACTGTAACAGGAAGGGGAAAAAACTATCCCCAACACACACACACACACACACACACACACACACACTGAACAGTCCATCAATGATTGAATACACTATATTACAGCCACACAATTGAGTATCACGCAGATGTAAACTGAGGAACTGCTCTAAGTACTATTATGGAGTGATTTCCAGAATACATTATTGTTTAAAAAAAAAAAGAGGCAAAGCAAGGAGGGTAAGAATAGGTATAAGTAAGCTACTGTTTAGCTAAATCAGGTAACAATCTAAGATATACTTGCATTCACACATATATATGTGTATGTATTTAATATACTGTTGTATTTTTTTTCAAAGATTTTATTTATTTATTTGACAGACAGAGACACAGTGAGAGAGGGAACGCAAGCAGGGAAGTGGGAGCGCGACAGGGAGCAGCAGGCTTCCCGTGGAGCAGGGAGCCCAACATGGGACTAGATCCCAGGACTCTCGGATCATGACCTGATCCGAAGGCAAACGCTTAACCGACTGAACCACCTAGGCGCCCCTCATATACTGTTTTACTTTTAAACCATAAACACATTGAAAATAAAATTTAAAAAATCAATTGTAAAAGTTAAAAGCAAAATTAACCTAAATGTGCATCTGTGTTATATTAGTAATATAAGAGAAATCCTAAGTGATTTTGAGCCATAATAAAATCAACTGTTATGAATGTTCCTTAGGAATAAACCACAAGGCAAAGTATAGCAAAAAAATTTCTTAGTTTCCAGAATTATATTCCTATTGGTATTGTTATTCTGATACTTTGCATGTGATTATGGGATACAGCAAATCAATAATTATATTGGGGTCACTGAGATCTGAGATTTTCACATGGGAGAAAGAAGACAGATGTGAGATCGAAGAAGTGAAAAGCATGTAGCCTCAGTATAAACTCATGATATATTTTTGGTAAAAACAAACAGGGGCGCCTAGGTGGCTCAGTCGTTAAGTGTCTGCCTTCGGCTCAGGTCATGATCCCAGGGTCCTGGGATCGAGCCCCACGTTGTCGGGCTTCCTGCTCTGCGGGAAGCCTGCTTCTCCCTCTCTTGCTCCCCCTGCTTGTGTTCCCTCTCTGTGTCCCTGTCAAATAAATAAAATCTTTAAAAACAAATAAACAAACAAACACACACATATTTCATAGCTCTGACCAATGAATGGCTTTTGGACAATGACCACACACAAGAACTCCTTGTGCCTAGCCAGTGGGCTGCAAAATATCATCTCCCCATAAAAGTAAAATGGGAACCCTGGAGACTTGACTGACCCCAGGCCTAAGACACAAAATGTACAAGACATTGGAACATCTTGTCACACGAGGGAGCAAGCAAACCACTGAAAATTACTAAGGCCATGAGAAAAGGCCTCATAAGTTAACTCAAAAGAGCCCACAATGCATCAATAAGGACAACAGACACATCAATATGTTTAAATACCCAAAAATAAAAAATACCGAAATGGTCATTTTTGAAGGTTCCTAGGGAACCAACACATCATTTTCAAAAACTGGTAATAAAAGCTAGAACCAAGCATTTATCATGCATTCCAAATATGAGCTGTACCTCAGGGTAATAAAGATGATGGCAAGCTTCCCTTTATAGAAGTCCTTCAACTAATAAATGGAAAAAAAAGAAAGCCTGAAAATAGCACCTCTTTGCAGCCTTTAATTAATAGATTTAGTCAATGATCAGTAGCACCTAGCATAAAAGAGACAGACACAAAAACATACAGGCCTTTTGTTCTCTCTCTGCTGCTCCCAAATCAAACCAAATTTTGATCAAGCCTCTAAATCTAGCTACCAATTTGCATGAAGTACAGGAGACAGAGGATCATGCTAAACTACACTAAAAAATATAATTAGCCAATTCAAAAATGGGCAAAGGACTTGAATAGACATTTCTCCAAAGACAATATATAAGACAGGAAATTCTGCAATATGCTACATGGATAAACTCTGAAGACATTGTTAAGTGACATAAACCAGTCACAAAGAAATACTGTATGGTTTCATTTATATGAAGTAATGACAGTAGTCAAAAATCATAGACTAAAAGAATAATGGTGGTTGTCAGGGGCTAGAAGGAGGGGAGAATGGGGAAGTTATTTAACAGGTACAGAATTTCAGTTTTACAAGATGAAGAAAGTTAACGTGAATGGATGGTGGTGAATGTGTTTAGTACGACGGCATTATATACTTAAAAGATGGTAAATTTTATATATATGTATTTTAACACAATAAAAAATATAGCTAGAAAATGAAAAACTCTGTAAAACAAATAACTTAGTTATTTCAACAACATATTTTCAAAAGAAAAAATAAGTAAAGGATGAAACTACAGATATAAACAAAGAAAAAACACAAAAAAATGAGAATCAGGAAAATGTGATATTATAGCTATGATTTTTTTAAAAATCCCTCTTTCAGAGCTACTAAAACTAGTTTATTTACAGATAAAATTAAGTTTCAAGTTTGCTTCAAAATAATTGGGGGCATGGAGAAATGGATGGGAATATGGATGAAGCAAGACTGGCCATGCTCTACAAACTGTTAAAACTGGCTGATGGGATTCTCAGTGATTGATTATACTATTTTCTCCACTTTTATATATGTTTGAAATTTCCTATACTAAGTTTAAGAAAAAAAAAAAAAGGAAAGAAAGCAATGCTCTAAAACTAAAAGTCAGACCATTTGTTTACATATTACCTGTGGCTGCTTTTGTGCCATAATGGCAGAGTTGAGTAGTTACAACAGATTTCATGATTGGCAAAATCTACAATGTTAACTTTCTGGTCCTTTAAAGAAAAAGTTTACTGACCTTTGTAAAAGAACTAAATAAAACAGCAGCTCTTTCTGCTCATGGGTCCTGTCCCTATGCTATAATAAAACCACCTATTTGCATCAAACGAACAAAAAACCCTAAAACAGGTATTAAGAGGGTCAGATTAGGAATCATCAGCCTCACTAACTTGTTAGGAATACCAAGTGAAATAATGCATTTTAAAGCATAAAAACATGACTTTAACAAATGAACGAAGGGTATGTTTTATGATCCTTATAAGCCAGGAATTCTCCTTCCCTCAAATTGTAACCAGTCAAACAATAAGAAATCCATAATGGCCAATCTTGAAAAATCCTTAAAATATCAAATTGACTTTAATATGACCTAAAAAATTTTCAGCTGTTGCTTTTACTGAAGTAATGTCATACACTGTAGTCTACTTAAATCTTAATATATCCCATAAGAAACTAAAACCAAGTAACATTATTTTTTGAATGTGGTCCATTATCAAGAAAATAGTAGCCCAAAGAAAACAACTCCAAGATAACCAGGTACTGGAAACAGCAGACTAAGATTTTAATCCGGCCATTATGAATATATATGGATTAAGAGGAAACTGTGTTCTTAAGGAGCTGAACAAGAAGGGGAATCTCAGCAGAGGGGAAATATTTTTAAACCTGGAAGTTCCAGAACACAACTCGAAGATGAATAGAAATTATCCAATCCAAAGAAGAAAAAGAGACTGAAGAAAAATGAACAAAATCTCAGTGACACCAAGCAGTAATTATGGAGTCTCAAAAGGAGGGTAGAGATATCAGGCAGAAATTCTTTTTGAAAAACTGGTAGTTGAAAATCCCCCCAATCCAGCAGACAAACATCAATGTGCAAAGCCAAGAAGTTCAGCACATACCAAGCAGGATATAAAAAAACCCGTACCTTGAAACACAATAGTCAATCTACTGAAAACCAAACATAAAACAAAAAAATATCTTGAGAGCAGGCAAAAAAGACCACATTATATAAAGAGAGTAACAATAATGCCTCACCAGAAACAAGAGAGGCCAGGAGACAACAGAATATCTTAAAAGGAAAGAAAAAATTAGAACTATCAAACTAAAATTCTGTATCCATGGAAAATACCCATCAAAAATGAGCATGAAATATAGAACAGTTTTTTTTTTTCTTTTTAAAGATTTTATTCATTTATTTGATGGACAGGGACAGCGAGAGAGGGAACATAAGCAGGGGGAGTGGGAAAGGGAGAAGCAGGCTCCTTGCGGAGCAGGGAGCCGGATGGACGTGGGGCTCGATCCCAGGACCCCGGATCACGACCTGAGCCGAAGGCAGATGCTTAATGGCTGAGCCACCCAGGCGCCCCACAAATGGTATATCTTATTTTAATGTACAAGATATGACATGATCTGAAAGTGTCTTGTTTCTCCATTTCTCTTTCACTGGAAATTCCTCAGGAATCCAAACCAACACTCTCCGGCCTCTCTCCGGCCTCTCCCCGTCCCGGGGTTCCGTCTACCTCCAGAGGGGACCCAGCGCCTCGTCCGTCTCCT